AGTGTCGCTGTGCTCCTGCTACCTCTGAGCACATCCATTGTCCTGTCCTCGGCACGGAGTGGGTTTTGGTTTCTCTCTTGCTTTTAATTAATGAGTCTGCTCAGAAGTTCGTTTCATTGATCTTTTCCAAGAACTGGTTTTTGGTTTTATTAATATTATGCTTTTTAATTTAGTATTTAATTAGATACGCTTTTCTCTTTATCAATGCCCTCTTCTTTCTTCTGGTTTGTTAGTTTTTTTTTTTTAATTGGGGAATTGGGGAATGGAAACAGTGCTGGGGAATTGGGGGAAGGGGAACACACAAGTTGCTGTCGTTTTGTTCTTCAGTCTAGTTGTGGAGGACGTTGCTTCACTGGCCCAAGTCGGCACCATCATTGCGCTCTTCCCGGGTGAGGCAGATCAGTCGCCGGCTTCTGGATGGCCGCTCACTGCGGCTGCTGGCCGCCTGTGCTGGCTTCTCCTCCTTCCTCCGTAAGTGGCCCAATATGTCTCTTCAGAAGCACCCCCGACTGGCCCTTTGCCTTGGGAGGCTTCTGGGTGGGAGTCCCTCGCTTATCCTCCACCTGACGGGACCCTTTTCCTTTTCACAGGCTCCATCTTCGTTTCACTCTACTCATCCAGCCGGTTTGTTGTCAGTCTGTTGTCAAGCCCTCACTCTCCCTTACGTCTCCCTGCAAAGGCAGCACACAGCCTGGGGATGCGTGTAGGGCACCAATCCTGGCAGATGCCCAACTGTGAGGCCTCTGACACCACAGGGTGCGCCTCCAGCTCGAAGCTGCAAGGACACCAGGACACGGCCTGCCTGGAGGATGGAGCCCTGGGCCTTGGATCCTGCAGGAGTGAATTAAAACTTTCCTATTTTATATTCTCCTTTCAGCTCCGACCTTCAAAGGAGATTACTCCTGAGCCACTTCCTGTTTGCCTGGAGGTGGGCTCAGTGGCTGGAGGAGAGCAGCCTGTTGGAATGCTGTCTTTCCTGGGTCTCTTCTTTAAGACAATTTGGGGGGAGGAGTCCTAAGTTACTGTGTTAATTAGTGGTCAGCAGCAGGCTAAGGCAATAGGTTCTGGAGGCCAGCCCAATGGTGGGTGCCTGGATGAACCCTCCAGGAAGAGGCAGCCGACACCCAAGGTTCTAACTTGGGAGACTTCTCTGAACCTGTTACAGACACGGCCCAGTGTCGACCAGTGTCTCAGTTACACCCAAGGCTATTTTCATTTCCCCGAGAGAAAAGTCTTACGTGGCATTTTATTTTTTATTGGCAAAGGCCATTGTTTAAAAGGAAAAAGCATTCCTTGTACTGGGCTGCAGTCAATTCCCACATATCCAATCCTACTCATTTGATTGTCATCTGTGCTCCAGAATTAACTCGAGTTACTGAGCTCCTCCAAAGGGGAGTTCCTCAGCCTCTCGCTGAGTCCCAGCCTTACCCTAGGTAACGTCTCCCTTTTCCAGACTCTTCTGCTGATGTAGGAATTGTGTGACCCAGCCAGTTCCAGTGGTCAGCTGCCTGGCAAGGTCAGCTCAGGGTCTAGAAGGTCATGGCTGGTCCCAACACTGTGGTGTCCACTGGGGAGCAGATTTTAACTAAAATAGAAGGAAGCTTTTTTTTTAAAAAGATTTTATTGGGGAATTGGGGGAGGGGAACAGTATTGGGAAATCGGGGAAGGGAAACAGACAAGCTGCTGTCCTTTTGTTCTTCAGTCTAGTTGTGGAGGATGTCGCTTCATTGGCCCAAGTTGGTATTATCATTGCACTCTTCCCGGGTGAGGCAGATTGGTCGCTCGCCCCTGGACAGCCACTCATGGCAGCTCTTGGCAGCTCACGCTGGCTGCTGGCCACTCATGGTAGCTTAAGGCAGCCCACTGCAGCATGTGCTGCAGCCTACACCATCGCTGACGACTCACAAAGCTGTTGTTCACCATCTTAGCTGTAGAGGGCGCAGTGTCACTGGCCCACATGTGGGATCCGAACCAGGGCCCTGCTGCTCAGAGTTGGCGTCCCAAGCCATCTCCTAACCAATGCGCCACTTGGCCAGCCCTAGAAGGAAGCTTTTAAAACAACAAACCATTGAATTTTAGAGCCAGGAGAATCTTTGAGGTCATTTGATCATTCCAACTTTCAGGGTATCTGTAAAATAGAAAAGCCTGCAATCAAAGAGTTTTTAAAATTGTTTTTAAAAAGTAAACATTTTATTTGGAGATACTTGTAGACACATGTACACTTATAGGAAACAATAAAGGGATATCATATACCCTTTCCCCAGTTTTCAAGATGGTAACATCTTAAAAACGATAGTCAAAATCTCAACCTGGATATTGACACTGATTCAGTCAAGACACGAAGACTCCAGCCCCACAGGCCCCCCTCTGCCCTCTTATAGTCCCCCCAAGCCATTCATCTGTTAGTGACCCCAGGCAACCACAGTTCTGACCTCCATTTATATAATTTGTCATTCCAAGGATGTTATGTAAATGCATAAAGGGAGAAACCGTTTTTCACTCAACATGTCCCCCAGAGACTGCCTGAGTCGCTGCTGTAGCCACCCTTCGCCCCTTGTGGCAGAGTGGCCTCCGTGGGGCGGTGCCTGTTTGGTCACCACTCACCCACCGAAGGGCATCTAGGTTATTTCCAGGCTGGTGGTCTGGGAGACTCAGAGTCCCGAGGAAGCAGGGTTCTCGGGGGCGAAGGCTTGTAAACATGACTGTGGAGCACAGCTGCCAGGGGCCTTTCTAGGCACTTCACAGGCTGTCCCCAGTCACTTCTCCAGGTGCCGTCTCAGATGGGCGCTCACCGTCCCCATCGCACAGGTAAGGAAGTGGCAGGCTCAGGGAGCTGGCCCAGGGTCACACAGCAGGCAGGAGACACAGCCACAGCTGAGTCATCGCCTGCCAGCCCCACAGGCCCAACCAGGGAAGGCAGGCGGCCAGCATGGAAGGCGAGTCGGGTCTCTGAGCTACCGTGAGCTCCGGGGTCTGACAGCCATTGACACAAGCCTCCCTGAGACCCTGGAGGCCACGATGTTCTGTGTGGGTGAAAGGACAGCCATCTACGGCAGCATTGCTGGGATTGGGTGCTGTGGTGCATGATTTTATGTGTCAACTTGGCAAGGCCACGGGGCCCAGATATTTGGTCACGCACAGTCACGTGTTGCTGTGAAAGTATTTTTTTAGATGAGATTAACATTGAAAACAGTAGACTTGTAGTAAAGCAGATTGATCGCCCTCCGTAATGTGGGTGGGCCTCGTCCAATCAGTTGAAGGCCTTAAGAGGAAAAAGACTGAGGTTCCTGGGGAAGAGGGAATTCTGCCTCCGGACGGCCTTAGCCTTGAGCTGCAATATCTGCTCTTCTCTGCATTTCCTGCCTGTCAGCCCACTCTGCAGATTTTGGGCTTGCCAGCGCCCACAACTGCTGGAGCTAATTCCTTCTCATCCGTCAGTCTCTGTACCCGTGTTGATTCTGTTCTTCCCCGAAACTGAACAAAGGAAACCTAATTTCCAAAGGCATCGGGAGGCCAGAAGGGGGCGCGCTCACGCAGGCCCTCTTCGCATCCATTACGGACGGACCCCAGCAGAACCCTCCCGGCGGCCCAGCAACTCAGCCGCAAGAAACCATCACCACCCTGAACTCTCACGCTCCTCCAATGGGCTAGCATTCAAAACAATTCTCCCAACTTCTTCGTTTTTCTCCGTTGTTTGTTGGACTCGCCTATGGCTGTGCTATAGCTTGCTTGTCCTGAATAGCAATTCTTTGCTGTTACCAATAAACCCATTTTTGTGTTTTGCTGGTAAAATAACTTTTAAGGTCAACAAGCTGGGTGAGTCCTGCTCGAGACTTCATAAAGTTGAGCCGGGACTTGAAGGAGACTGACCAGGGCGGGGATCTCTGGGAGGAGCTGGGCTCCTGGAGGTTCAGGAGCCCACCGAGTCCAACTCTATGATCCAAACTTCCTTTTCATAAAACTCTGTGCTTCTCACTTCCTGTCTCCCTGCCTTAAATACCCTCCGTCTTCACACAGAAGCCAGGATGTGCACGTGGCTGCCCGGGGCTGCTCCGGCTGGTGCCGGGTTGCAGCCCTTTTTCCTTGTCCTGAATAAATCCTTTTGGGTGACAGAAACCTCGTTGATATTACCGCTTAGTCGACACCCTCCATCTGTCTGGGGGAAAGGTGGGATGCCCTGTGGAGGGTGACGGGGACAGGTGACACCAGCGCGTGAGCCGGTCCTCAAGTGCGGCGGGGGCGTTGGCACGACCTGCTTTCCTAGTTGGGGTCAGGCTGCACCCCAGACTTCCAGCATCTGGGCCTCCGTTTCCTGACCCGGGGGCGAGCGCCAGACCTGTCCCTCCGGTCCCTCACAACTGTGTCCCTCTCCAGCGCTGGCCGCTGACATGGGAGGCTCCAGGCCACTTGTGGACAGTGCCCGGTGCCCCAGGACGTGCTCCCACGGCCCAGCCCTCCCCGCGGAGCCCCGAGGACAAGGGCTTCGCGCCTGTCAGACTGGGCCCACGGGCTGGTGGGGAGCGGGCGACAGCGGGGGCCCTTGAGGCCCGCCAGGTCGCCAGCTCGGCCACGAAGGGGCGCTGGGCTGAGCCCCAGCCGGCCGGCACCCTCGGCCCAGGCCGGCCTCCTGGCGCCCCAGGCGCCCCGGAGCCCGCCCCACCGGGCCCGCGCTCCAGAGGTTGTGCACCCGTGCGTGCGAGCTCTGCCCGGAACCTTGGTCCGGCCCCGACAGCGGCGTCAGCAGTGGGCCCGGACGGCTTTCCCCCGAGCACCGAGGCCAACGGGGTCGGAGGCGGGTGGGCAAGGGAATCTCGGGGGCCGCCAGGGAAATCCGAGCTCCGCGCTCCGGGCGGACGTCGGGGAGGCGGGGCAGAAACTAAAGTGGGCGGTCCGGGGGGGCGGAGCTGCCGGGGGAGGGCAGGTCCAGATCCGGGAGGGGCCGGGAGGCGTGTGGGCGTGGCCATTCCGGGGGCGGGGCCGACGCCGGGAAGGGGCGGGGACTCTGTGCTGCTGCGGGGCGCGGGGGCCAGCAGGAGGCGTGGCGCACCTGCAGCTCACGGACACTCCGCCCCCGCACCACGGCCCAGCGGCCCCCCGCCCCTGACCCCCCGCGGGCCTCGGAGGGTTCCCTGTAACCCAGCCGGTCTCCGCACCCTGGCGCGCCTACTCCGCGGTCGTTGGCCCCCGCAAGTCATCCCACGGGACCCCTCACGGGACCCCCAACGCCGCCGGCCGCGCACCCGCCCGGAAGTAACGACTTCCGCCGCGGCCCGGCCGGTGCCGGCGTCGCCATGCCCTCGTTCTGTGACCTGCTGCGCGACTGGCAGCGGGGCGCGCAGGCCGCGGCGCGCGGGGACTGGGGCTGCGCCCTGCGCCACTTCTCGAGCGTCCCGGACCCGCCCGCCAGGATGTGCTTCAACGTGGGCTGTGTGCACCTGCTGGCCGGGGACCCGGAGGCCGCGCTGCGGGTGAGGCAGGGCACCCCGGGGTTGGCCGCGGGGACCCTACCCGCTGGGAAGATGTCTTCTGGCCCTGGGGAGCGCGCAGGGTCAGTGAGTGCTGTGATCAAGACCCAGCTGCAGGGATCAGCCCAGGGCCCCCGCCCTTCCTCCCGACGGTCACCTGGAGATATCCCTCCAGTGTTCTGCCTCAGTGAACACCTACCGCACATGGGAGCTGTGTGGTCGTGGGACCCCACCCTGAGCTGAGTCAGGGCCAGGATGGGGGTGCAGGACTCCCTCAGTGCCTCCACTGTATGGTGACCATGTGTCAGACTCTACAGTCGTGGGGAAAGGGGGGAAGGGAGGGCAGTGGCTCAGGTGCTCACTGCCCAGGTGCTAACATACCTGGAAGTGCTTGAGGCTGGATTCCACTTGGAAGGGGTCACCTGTCTCCCAGGGTATAGGGTTTGGGACAAGGGCTTCAGCAGACACCTGTGATGTGGTGAGGAGACAAGGTGTATGCCCAAACCCCAGATCTGAGTGCTCACCTCTCCCAATCTGCTCCCCCAAACAGAACCAAAAGCTCTGGGGTGCACAGAGCCACTTTCTGCCCTGTAAACCTATTTGTATTCAAGAGACGCATGCTCCGGGCAGAAAGACCAGATTCTTACAGTTGTGCAGACGGTCAGTGAAAACCTGCAGGTGACAAGAGGATGTAAGAGTCTCAATGTCAGTGCCTCAAAAACATCACCATTGGAGGGGACGGGACCCCGCCTATCGTTTATTACCTCAGCATACGAACCCACAATCCTCAGTAACCTTTTCAGTTTAAAACGTCCAAAAAAGGAAACCCGATCTCTGGACAGCAGGTGACTGTAGGCGTAAGGCTGTCCAGTCATCACTTCTGCATAATTTAACTTCTGTGATTTAACTGGGGAGAGGGACCAGGGTTGTGGGCAGAGGGTCTGAGGGCTCACTTCTCCCCTCCCCTACCAGGAGGAGATGGAGTGCTGTCTCAAGTCAGTCAAGCTGAGTGACAGTAGCATCGGCATTTTAGTTGGGAGGGCGGAGATTTAAAAAAGTAGATGGAACAGCTACCATTAATAAAACCGACTGTCTCTGAGAAGCAGGACAGGGGTTGAGGGGCAGAGCTGGGACTGCAGTCTGTTGTCTGAACATAACATGAGCCTTGATTTGGCTGCTCTGTGTGGCGGGAGAGCAAACAGATGCCACCCCCGTCAGTACCTCTGTGTGTACCTTCTACTGTGGGCTAAACTCAGTTCAAACCGCTTGGCTGGATTGGTTAGAGTAAGACCGTGACACCCCTCCTGCCGCCTGCGTTTAACTGAGGGCTGCTGTACTACCTCCTGTTCTCTCTGCCCTCACGAGGGACAGACCTTGTCATTTCTGAGTGTGGCTTAAGGAGCAGCTGTGCCTTACACACATGCTAAGATTTCTGTGTTGCTCTTTTTTCTGATTACACTAGATAAGTGTCACTTAGTATGAGCTAGCAAAAATAGGATTTAAAAAAGACAAAAATCTTGCATAACTCCATCCCCCCAAGGTAGCTCTCATGAATGCACTGGACTATTTCCTTCTGCGTTTCTGCTTGTCCTCGTGGTGAACAGTTGGTTTGTGACACCACCTTGCTCGCACACCCAGGCACAGGCTCTGAGGGCCCCAGATGGGCTGCCACAGGCGTGGAATACCTTGGCCCCGTCACTGGTCATCCGCCTGGACAGCAGCTGTGACACGGGGTGATGGGGTTATAGACCTTGGCGTTCCATGGGCATCTCTGTTCCCAGGCCTTTGACCAAGCGGTGATCAAGGACGCCTGCATGGCTGTCGGCTTCTTCCAGCGAGGAGTGGCCAACTTCCAGCTGGAGAGGTGAGCCCAGGGGCACCTATTCCTTCTCTGACAGCCCTTTGTGCTCTTGCCTCCGCCTCTCCCCCATGGTCACCTCTCACTGACCCCTCCTGGACGGGAACCTGGGAGCAGGTGCTGTGGTCACACTGAGCCGGATGTAGGACAGAGCCGCAAGGTGAATCTTGTCTCCATGTGCTTTTGTGGGCGCCCCTGTGCCTCTCCCACGTCTGCTGTGCGGGACTGGTGTACTTATGCCCTTCATGCAGGCGTGGGGCCGAGGAAAGGCTGGAGCGCTGTGTCCCAGAATGGAGGAGCTTGGAGCCTCCTGATCGCCGGGCTGTCTGCCCTGTGGCCCTTCCCACAGCAGCAGGCAGGGCTGCAGGACAGGCCCCACGGAAGGCCCTGTGCTGGGCAAGCAGGCTCTGGGGTGGCCTCCCCTCTCATCTGTAGAAGCCTCCCTGGGGGGTGAGGGTCCCGGGGGCAATGCACAGCCGGGTCTCAGGTGCAGACAGGGGCCCCAGGCAGGGGAGCAAATGCCCAGAATTTAGAGCTGGGTCAGAGCCATGGCTGTGTATTGACCCTTTGACCCCTTCATTGGGGACTTGAGTGCCCACTGTGGGCTGAGACCTGGGTCACCAGCCCTGCCCTCAGGTGTCCCTGAAACTGGGCGCAGGAGGAAGGCTGGGACAGAGCTGGTCCCCTTTTCCTGCGGCTGCTGAGGTCCCCGGCTCCCCTGCTGCTGCAGGTTCCAGGAGGCCCTGTCTGACTTCCGTCTGGCCCTGGAGCAGCTGCGGGGCAATGCCGCCATCGACTACACACAGCTGGGCCTGCGGTTCAGGCTGCAGGCCTGGGAGGTGAGTGTACATCGGGCTCCTGCAGGGAGCTGGCCTCCAGGGGCTGGGCCGGCTTGGGGCTCATGGGTGGAGGACCCAAGTGGTCCTGCCAGGCCCCTGGGTTCCTGCAGGCCCCGTCCTCTGGGTCCTGTTGTCTCGTTGCTGTCACAGCTGGGGCTGTGTTCACTGGCTCAGAGGTGCCCTGCAGTCCCCACCAGTCACTCTTCCCCCAGGAGGTTCAGGGTGGCAGTGGGGGTGGGGCCACCAGGAGTGCGTCTACCTAGGACAGGGGCTGGTGGCAGGAGGGAGCGCAGCTTGGCTATGGGCCCCTGGCAGGGGCAGGCAGGGGACATTCCCACCCTCAGCTCTGCGCTTGGCCCCGTTCCCTGCCTCTGGGTTCAGTGCTGGCACTGAAGGAGGGTTATTGGTACAAGTCCTGCAGTGCTCCCAGGTGCCCCAAGCCACAGGAAATCCTGGGGGAGGCCCGCAGGGGCTGGTCCTTGACCCACCTGTGTCCACCTCCCAGGGATCTGAACAATACAGGGCAGGGCATGGGGTGTTGGCCCATCAGGATTCCGGGAGGGTGGCCAGCTGACTCCAGGAGCATGGTGTTACCTGGCAGGCAACAGGGACAGACAGAGGGCCTCAGGAAGGCGGGCTGGTCTCTCCTGTTGACATAAGGTGGAGACGGGCAAACAGTTGCTATCCCCACAGCAGCCCAGGTGTCTGTCGGGGCTGGGCTCCCAGGAGCACCAGGTCCTTGCTGGCGACAGCCTTAACCCAATCCATTGTGTCTGTCAAAATGTTCTTTCACATGGGGGGAGGGGACAGGACCCCAGACTCACAGGGGTGCAGTCACAAGGGCTGTGCAGGGAGGGAGGAGACACGGGGGGTCCCGCCAGACACAGAAAGGGGGTGAGACAGGTGGGGAGGGTGCTGCAGAGATGGGGGACCAGCCTCTGATGTTCAGAGCGGAGGCACCAGAGCAAGGGACCGACCACTCCAGTGGGCTTTGCTGGTCAGAGCCTGGCACCAGGGAGTGACCACCGCTGAACCGGGCAGGCTCCGGCAGGCCGGGCGCCCAGAAAAGCTCTGGCAGCTGTGGCTGGGGGGGTGCCACAGCTGGACGGGGCAGGGCTGGGGTCCAGGGGCACGGCCAGGAGTAGGGGCTGGCCTGACAGTGGTGATCACCTTTCACCTGACTCCCAGGTACTGTTCAACGTGGCCTCAGTGCAGTGCCGCCTGGGGCTCTGGGCCCAAGCCACCCTCAGCCTAGAAGAAGCCATCTTCAAGGGGCCAGATGGGGCCCGCGAGGACCTGAACACTGCCCTGGACCAAGTACAGGTGAGGAGGGCAGGTGAGGGGGCCAGGTGAGGAGAACTAGGCCAGCCCTGCCCTCTCGGGCTCCTGAGCTGACTCAGATCAGCCTACAGGGCCCATAGCCTGCAGTTTGGGGCTCACGCCTATACAGACCCCCAGGATCAACTATATGAGATGAAGAAACTTCTAGACGGCAGTGGCCCATGTGCCCAGGTGTGGAGGCTGGGCAAGGGCTTCCCATGGCCTGTGGGAAGTGGGTGCGGGCACCAGGTAACCCCTTCTGCTCCAAAGCCCAGGGCCTTCAGCAGGTGCAGGCCTGGTCAGCTGCTCAGGTCTGCATTGGCTGGACCTCCCTCCAGAAACAGGCCTTCCTGCAGCCTCGGCGGGTTCCCAGGGGCGAGGTCTTCCAGCCCCACAGGCGTCACCTGCAGCACCTGGCACCTGTGGATTTTCTGGGCAAGGCCAAGGTAAAGGGGGAAGCTTCTTGGGCCCCAGGTGCTTAGGGGCCAGCAGCACCCAGCAGGCCAGAGAGGGGTGGGTGGCCAGGCCTGTGGTGAGCTCATGGGGTGTCCTGGGCACTTGCGCTCTGCTCACGGGGACACATGGGGTCTGGTCCATGTCGATAGAAAGGCCTTGGTGTGTGGAGAGCGGGCACAAGGCTGGGCAGTGTCTCCAAAGGCGGCTCATTTCCGAGATCCTTGGAACTGGGGAGACAGGAGCCGCCAGGAGCCGCCTGCAGAGGGTGAACCCCGCTGGCAGTGCTCCCTGCCTGCCACCACCGCAGCCGTGGCTCCCGAGACACAGGTCCCAGGAAGGGTGTTAGGCTGACGGGTGCACATGACCACCCTGGGTCAGGCCGGCGGTGCCACCATCACAGGACACTGAGGAGCAGCTCGTCCCCAAGGACAGGGTGCATGTGGGGAAGCAAAGAACAAATCATTTTGGTTTTGAGCTGGTGGCCCTTGGGCCAGCCTGAGACCCCCGGTCACCGAAGGCCAGCATGCATGTACAGCCGAGGGTGAGGGCACGTGCCACAAACACCACGCCTCTGCCGACATCTGCTGGTGGAGACCGGAGCTGGGCTGCACCAACTGGTCAATCACAGTAGAAGACTTTCTAAGAAACAAAATGTTTTAAAAGTTGTATTACAAATAAGTTTAAATGGTCAGCACAGTTGTTTCCTTTATCAAACATGTTTCTACCTCCAGGGGGAGGTCCAGCAGCCTTGGGCCAGGGGAGGGCAGCCCCCACCCACAGATGGCAGACGTGGAGGTGCAGGGCGGGCAGTGAGGGCTGGGGAGCAGACGTCTCAGGGCCCCTGGAGGTGTGGCTGGGCGTCCCCTGACCTGGCAGCCCCCCTGCTGTCCCTCACCAGGTGGTGGTGGCCTCTGCTGTCCCTGACGACCAGCACGAGGGTGTCCGGCCTCAGCAGCCCCAGGTGGGTGGACGGCCTTCCTGCCAGCCCAGACCCCTCATCTGGCATTTTATAGGTCAGAGCACTCCAGACCCTTTCCTGCTGAGGAGGGGAAATGCTGCACGTGCTCTCAGCCCTCCCCGGCTCCCCAGCGTTCCTCTGATTTGAAATTGGGGTGACCGTCCCAACCCATATGAGAGAGAGTCTGTAAAATCATGGAGCCTTGCCTGGGGGAGGCGACGCCAGCCCACCTGCCCCTGACACCCATGGGGGTCGTGTCCTCAGCGAGGTTGTCGCCCTGTGCCTACAGGTCCAGGATGAGGATGGTGAAGCCAGGCCTCGAGCTGGCCCCAGGTAGGAAGGGCGTCTCCCGTCTGCGTGCCTGCTTCTCTGGGGCTCCCGGAGTGCCCACTACCCGCCAGGCCATCACGTTTCCTTTCCAGATTGAAACTGGCCAACTCCTGATGCCAGAAAGAGGCACCAAGCCTCCCTCTGCCCTTCCCATGTCCCCGTTTGTCCAGAGGCCAGGCCTCCCTGTGTCCTGAGCCCCGTCCTCCCATGGACACCCGCTCGGGCCTCAGTGGGCTCCAGAGGGCCGCCATGACCCCAGGCAGCATGGGGGGTCAGAGCAAGGAGGGGCTCAGGATGGGCTGTGGGCTGACACGAGCAGCCCCCGCTGGCATCGCCAAGCCCGAGCCTCGCAGAGGGGGCCGCTCCACCTGGCAGTGTTCACACTGCACAGCGTGGGGGCCCAGCAAGCCCACCCTGCAGGGCCCTCGACCAAGGAGGTTGCGGGCAGGCTGCATCAGGGAGCAGCGAGCCCTGAGAATGAGGCCCCGTCTCCCCCCAGGGCTCACGACATAGGCCCCTGCAGACCTGGCACCCCTCCTAGCCCCAGGATGCCCCCTGATGCAGAGATGGAGATTGGCCCTGGCCAGGCAGGGCGGGCCGACCGCTGCACGCCAGGCGCCTACGAGGAGCAGGTGAGTGTGCCCAGGCCAGGTGGGGCGGGCAGGGGCCACAGTCCTGGGAGGACCCTCAACCCCAGGCTGGGTGTGGGGACCAGGGGCCACAGCAGGGCACCACGAGCGTCTGAGGGCAGGACAGGCGGCTTCCTCGCCCACTGGGACATGGGCTTTGGCGTCCTCCGTCAGGCCAGGGATGTGGCCCGAGCCAGCCACAGTGACCGATGCCCGGGTTGGGGGCATGCTCCCACTCAGCAGTGTGAAGCTCGGGGCCTGGCGGTCCCTGAGGGCCTGGCCTGCAGTGTGCACGTCCCTGCTGGCACCTCCCACCCACTGGCAGGGCCCCTGTCACCCCAGCCTTCCTTCATGGACATGGGGTGCCCCCAGATGCCCTAGGCTGGGGTGAGGCCGAGGAGGGGACCCAGGCTGACCACTGGCCCGAGCCAGCACCAGGAACTGGGGGTTAGCTGTGCCCAGGGAAGGTGGTGAAATCGAGGGACAAAAAAACTGGACAGTCAGCTTCACTGCTCTCGGGGGTTTGGTTCACTTGGTTGGGCAGGTCGGCACCCTTCACGCAGCCCCTCCCGTTACAGCAGCACTTAACTGAACCCCGCAGCGGTTAGAGTGGCAGGCGCTAAGTTCGTGGGTGGGTCTGAAGCCCTCGACCCTCCTGACATGATGGGCAGCAGCCTCCAACAGCTTTAACTAGTAAACCTGATAAAGTCTAAACGCTTCATTTATAAACTTACACTGTCAGACGCCCGTTTGGAATGAGGGCCTCAGTCAGCTGGTCAGTGTGGCTGGGACCTGGGCCCTTCGGGGGTGTCCCACTGCCCCTCTCGCACCCCCACACAGACAGGAAGCCCAGCTGGTCCCTGGGGACTACCCACTAGAGCTGCTGCCTCATGTTGGGGTGAGCGGGGGGCGACCGATCCACCCGCACTGTAGTCCCCGGGCCTGTGGGGACCTGGTCCGTACCCTGAAGTCATCCCCAGCATGGTTTGGATTTGTGGTTTCCTGCCTGGCCAGGCCAGCTCACAGGCCACACCCCTCACTGCTGGCTTTGCTGGGTCCATGTCCAGGCACCAGGCCTGGGGAAGCTCTCCCCAACTCAGGGCCCCCCCCCGCCCCCCACCCCTGGGGCCCAGCAGAGCCTGTGGCTTTCCTTGCAGAGGCCCCACACTGAGCAAGTTGGCAAACAGGTTCCTCCAGGTAAGGGCGTCCTGAGTGGGTGGGGGTGGGGCGCTCTGTGGAGGGAGCAGGCACCTGGGGGGGCTGGGAGCAGCCTCTTTGACCCCCAAGGAGGAAGCGGGCCTTTCTGTGGGCGGGTGGTGTTGGCAGCCCCTCTAAAGTGTCCCCTTTGGGTGGGGGTGGCTGCCTGAGTCCCTGCCCCACCTCTCCACAGAGCTGCCAGCGGCTAGGGGCCCAAACCCTGAACCCTCTGAGGATCCCTCAGGCGCTGGGGTAAGAGGCCCCTACTTGCCACTGCTTGGATGGCCCGGGGACCCCAGCTGATGAAGCTTTATGATCCCTTAGCAGCAGCCCTCCCACCCTCAGTCCCTGCTCTCACCCCTAAGGCCCAAAGCCCACCGCAGCCAGGCCCTGGGCACGCAGACCTGGGGCGTCAGAGACCCACCCCCGCCATTCTGCCTGGCCTCAGGAAGTGGCTGCGGGGGCCCCTGAGGCCTTGGTGACCATCACGGTGCAGTGTGCCTTCACCCTGACCCTGAAGGCCCCAAGAGGAGCTGACCTGTCCAGCCTGCGGGCCCTGCTGAGCCAGGCCCTCCCTCTCCAGGCCCAGCGTGGGCAGCTCAGGTGGGCGGGAAAGCCAGCGCCTGCTGCTGAGCAGGTGGGAGATGGGTGGGTGGGCCCAGGTGGGACCCCAGGGCAGCTGGACGTGGGGCTGGGCGCACCAGGCTGCAGCGTCAGAGGCCAGCACCATCGCACAGCCCCTCGCTGCCCAGTCTGATGAGTCTCTTTGCAGTTACCAAGACTCTGGTGATGGGCGCTGGGTCCCCCTCCCCGAGGAGGAGGCCCTGCAGAGGGCCTGGCGGGATGTGGCTTCTGGCCCCAGCGGGCTGCGGCTCCAGTGCCGAGTGAGTCTGGGGACAGCCATGGGCGGGGGTCAGGGCGGCCGTGCCACAGAGTCCCAGACCCTTTGGTGGCCACTGGCCCTGTAGCGTCCCCTCTGCCACAGGGAGCAGGCGGCCGGCCTGTCCTCTACCAGGTGGTGGCCCAGCATGGCTACTCTGCCCAGGGTCCCGAGGACCTGGACTTGCAGCCAGGGGACACCGTGGACGTCCTGTGTGAAGGTTAGGCAGGCAGCCGCCCTCCCCGTCACCCTGCTGGGGTCACCTGTGCACTTGGGGTTTCTGCGAGTGGACATTGCTTAATGCCTGGATGTCCCCCTTTCAGTGGACCAGGCATGGCTGGAGGGCCACTGTGACGGCCGCGTTGGCATCTTCCCCAAGAGCTTTGTGGTCCCTGCCGGCCAGTGTGTGAGGCGCTCCGACTCCCGACCCCCTGGCCCCAGTGATATCAGCTCCAAAGGGTCCCGTGGCAGGAAGTTTTAATAAAAGCAATCTGCCCACCAAGATGTGACTCGTGTCCTGGGCTCGGTCTCTCGGGTCCTGACTGAGGCTCAAGGGTGTGGGGTGGGCTGCTTTCCGAGAATCCCTTGGCCCCTCAGGCCGGGCAACAGCAGGGGTCCAGGCTGGGCCTTCCCCACAGCTCCTCCGGAGGCTCTACTGGCCCCAGGGCCTCACCCGCCCCTCCCAGGGAGCCAGGCCCCTTCTTGCTACAGCCATCATGCCCCACTCCCAGGCTGGCCCCGGCCCCGGCCCTCTAATGCCACAGTCACAGCATCAGAATGCACTGCGGGGTCCTGGCAGGCTGTTGTTTGTGCAGCGAGTCCCCCGCTGCCCTGGAAAGCACAGCGGAGAAGGGGACTTGGGTGCCAGAAAGGGAGGCCACGATGAGGACCACAACACAGCCTCCTGGGCCAGAGCAACCCTGAGGGCAGAGACCACAGGACAAGCCCAATGGGGGCCCCATAGGGGTCAGGGGCTCAGCTTGGCTCTGGCCAGCACGTGTCCATGCTGGGTTGGTCCCGCCGGGCTGTGGGAGCTGGCTTCTTCCTGCACCAGGGGCCAGCTAGCTCAGTCCTGGGGCCAGAGGAGCTGGACCGCAGCCGCGGCAAGGACGGCCACGAGGGTCAGCACCATGAAGACAACGCCGGCCGTCCACACACTGTAGCTCTGTGCCCGCCACTGGGTGGGCGCCTCAGCCGGGATCATGCTGGTTAGGTTCAGCATGTAGCCCAGCGTCCAGCCAACATCAGTGCCACCGGCCTGCAGGACACACAGGTGGTCAGGGCTGCGGCCGGCCGCCTGGAGCCCCACGCCTCCCCAGCCCGGGAGGTGGCACCTGCTTCCGGAACTCAATGCTGGACCAGGTCTCTTTGCTGAACCCGTAGCCGTCGAGGAGGAGTGTGAGGATGTACAGGCCCGAGGCACAGTAGTCACGCAGCCAGCGCTCCTGCCCCGGCCAGGCCGCCTCCACCTGGGCCCAGGAGGTGCCGTGGCAGGTGAGGCTCCACCTCCCAGGCCACCAGAGGCTGGTTCCCCTGGGTCCTGACTCCGGGGCTCCTGCTTAGAGCAGGATAGCTCCCCCAAGTCCCACTAGCCACATTGGCCGGAGGGGCGGGTCCCCCAAGTCCCTGCTCAGTGAAGCTGCAGCTTGGGGAGATGGGCGAGGGCAGGGGAAGCGGGCAGATGGGGACCCGCCTACCAGCCTCCAGGGCTTCTGGCAGAATTCCCAGACTGTGGCATTGGCGGTGGCCAGCGGCTGCCCCGAGGTGAGGTTCAGGAAGTGGAAGGTGTAGTAGAAGCTGGAGAAGGCCTGCGGGAGAGGACGGGCGTGCCGGCACTGGGGAGGAGCCCAGGCAGGCCACGTCCCCCACCCACATGGGGCCTCAGAGTCCTGGGCCCACCAGGGACCAGGCCCCTGGGGCTGCAGAAGGGGGTGGGGCCCTAGAGCAGGGCAGTGTGGGTGCTCACGTAGAATGTGCCCTGCACGGGAGGCTGGTAGACCCCATTGAAGGTGCAGTTTTCTCGGCCCTCGCAGCTGGAGAAGTTGAAGAGTTCTTGGATGGCTGAGATGCAGGCCCTGGGGTTCCCCGTCCCTTCCACAGTGAGGTTCTGGGTGAGGTCTGGGGGCACTGTGGCGTGCACACAAGGCGACTCGAACACGGGGGCCAGGGACAGTGTGCCCTGGTAGCCACTGTGGTAGCATGGGTGACGGACTCGGGGGGCTGGGCTGCTCTGCAAGGTGGTGGAGATGGCCTTGAGCACCTGTCAGGGACACAGGTGCCCGCCGGCCCTGCCCCACCGCCCCGTCCTCCCTGCTGCCCCCCAGGCCACCCCTGCTGGATCCGTCCCCCGCGCACCCCCCTACCCCCCACCAACCCACCTGCACCAGCTGGGCCAGGAGCCTGAGGAGCATCTGGTCCCGCCCGAAGCAGAGGTGGCTGTGGGTGTAGACACGGTGCTCGAAGCCGTAGAGGCGGAAGGTGGCCTCGGTGCTCTTGTCCAGAATGGGAACTCCGGGCACGAAGGTGATCTGGGCAGAGGCCCCACCCATGTCCAGAGCGCCCACCAGCGTCCCCTCCAGAGGCCGGATCCACTCTCCAGAGAAGGAGTACTGAGCACACATGAACACTGCGTTCTAGCACCGGCCATGCTGACCCAGCCTTGCTCAGCCAGCCCCCGCCCTGGGACTGCCCATGGCACCTTGACCAGCAAGCCTAGGACGTAGTTGATGGTAATCCAGCCTAAGGCACCTTCGTCCTGCCCGGCCAGGAGCTCAGCGCCCCAAAAGTCCACAGGAGCCTGGCCCAGGACCTCAGTGACTGCTGCGAAGATGTTTGCCGCCTGAGAGCTGTTCTTCTGGCTGGCAGAGGACCAGGGGCAGAGGACCAGGGGCTGAAGCTGGCTGGGAGCCCGCAGCCACCCACCCCGCCTGGGCATTGGGAGCGTGGTCCAGCTCACCTGAGCAGCCGCATGCCAGCCGTGGCCCCCAGGAACGTGGGCGTTCCCTGGTGCTGGGCCTCTGGAATCAGCGCCAGCGCCTCCTCCAGGCAGCCCCGCAGGCTCTCGCCAGCCTGTTCGGGGCTGGAGGCATAGGAGGAGATTCCGGGCCCTGAAACACGACACCCCAGGATGAAGCTCGAGGCTGCTGGCCTTGATGGCCGGCTGGGCTGAAAGGGCCCGTGGGGGGGTGGATAGCGGGCCCCAAAAGGTGCGTCCACATCCTCAACCCTGCCTGGGACCTGGGACTGTGGCCTTATTTGGAAAAAGGGTCTTTGCAGATGTGATTAAGTTAAGGGTCTTAGGGTGACACCATCCTGGATTCCGTGGGTGGGACCCAAATCCAATGATGGGGGCACTTGGAGGAGGAAGGAGAAGGGGTTTGAGTCACAGGGCAGAACTGTTTCGAAGCCAGAGGCAGGGGTAGAGATGGGAGGGGTGCAAGCTGGAGCCCCCAGAAGCTGGGAGAGGCAGGAAGGCCGGACACGGTCTCTGTAGGCTCAGGTAGGGACGTGTCCAGAGCCCTGGGAGGCACCCCATTGGCCAGCTGTGCCATCGTGGGCACCTCACTCACCCTGTCTGATCCCCTCCCTGTAGTCAGATTGGCTGACTTGCTGAGGGATGGTCCTACCTGGCTCCACCCCCCGGGAGCCCCAATCAGGTAGCGGGCAGCTCCCTGGCACCGCCCGCGATCAACAGGACCGCCCACTGACCTTTGGCCTGGCAGGCCAAGGCTTGGCTGACCACGCCTGTGTCATTCTCCTTGTCTGCAGGCCACCGATACACAAAGAGGGACGTGTGGGAGGACCCGGCATCGAACACAATCCCAAACTGGGAGTGACACCAGGGTCAGGAGGGCGGGGGGCCGGCATACTGCTCAGCCCAGCCCGGCCTCCCCTGCTCAGGGTCTGGGGCGCACCTTGGTGTCTGCGGGCAGGAGGACGTTGGTGGCCTCCACCAGGATGAGAATGAGCGTGGTGACTCCTGAGGCCACTGCAGCCCCCAGCAGGGCCGCCCTGACCCGCTCTTTCCAGGTCAGCCTCATGGTGGGGGCAGGCCTGGGCCTGTGGGGAGTGGGCAGCAGTTGGCAGACTCTACCACTCTGGGGCTCAGCCCACCTTGGCTGCGTTGATGGGCAGGGCCAAAGACCATGCCTGGGGAGCCCAGGGTGTCGCCAGCATCGGAGGGGCCTGGTCTGGTGACAAGGCTAGCCTGAGACACACAGCACTGATGGCCCAGGAGAGCCCCTTTAATGTCACAGCAGGAGCGAGCAGAGCTACCCCACTTCCCTAAACCCCTGCTCCCCTCCCCCCAGCTCTGCAGGTCAGCTCCAGACTCAGCTGGGAGGCCCAGGACTCCAAATGTCCGGCCCACCTACTCCTCTCTGTGGCCCCTCCCCAGGCGGAGCCCTGAGGCCAGGCCTGAACCCCGCAGGCACAGGTGACTGCCTGGATGTCTCCCGCTGCAAAGGGGCCCCCGCCTGTAACCCAATGAATGAGGCCAGTGGGGTCCCAGGAAGCACATCTCCTCTACTAGAGGATCTCAAGGCCAGGAGTTCTTAACAAAGACATCTGGCTTTGCCTGAAAACCCAGCCTCCGGGTTCTCTGAGTCTGAAACTTCGTAGTTGGCCCCTGGCAGCTGGCCTGGGGCTGCAGCCCAGCAGGGCCCCCCTCCAGGCCCCACACGTCCCCCAGCTGGGCCATGCACACAGGGTCACCAGGAACTTTGAGCCAGCTGGCACCACTGCCCAAAGGAAACTGCTCACCGAGGTTCATGTGATTTTGTGTCATATCACGTATCCCAGGGCTCCCGGCCTCCCCCGCAGTCGGGCAGGCTGTGTGGCTCTGATTCCATTTTACTAAAGGGAGACAGGGGCTCAGAGAGGGGCCCTGCTTGAGCTGCAGTCAGGCCTGACCCAGATGGGACCAGCATCTAGGCCACTGGACACCTCACAGAGACAGATGACAGACGGGGACCAGGACACAAGGACCCCACCTCCAGAGGATGTAGCACCGAGTTCCCAGCCTGAGCCCCCATTTGGCAGGCAAAGGGGTGAGCAGACTTTCCCGAGAGTCAGACCATCTCCCCCAGGACCGGTCAGCACCCCCGGACCATGACAGCCCCCCAGGACTGGTCAGCCCCCTCAGACCAGGACAGCCTCCCCAGGACCGGTCAGCACCCCCAGACCAGGCAGCTCCCCCAAACTGGTTAGCACCCCCAGACCAGGTCAGCCCCCTCACCTGGGCAATGGGACAGCCAACAGCAGCAAGAAGGCAGCTGGACTGCTGTCCCTGAAGCACCTGCCAGGTGCTGTCCTGCCTCTCTCCTCCCCTCCCCAGCTAGTCACCACCCCCCTGCAGCTGGGTCTGGAGCTGGGCAGGTGACTGGCTTGGAAGAGGCCAGAGCTGCCCACCCCCAGCTCCCAGACCAGGCAGCTGACGCTCAGTGGGGGTGAGCTCAGGACCCCGCCCAGGGTCATGCCCCACTGGGGAGGGTTCCCCACCCCCTGCCGCCCAGGCTGTGCCCTCCACTTGCTGCCCAGAGTTGCCACCCACCTCTACCCACTCTGCTCTGGGACTGTGCAAGTTGGCCCCGCCCCCCGAGGCCGCTCAGACTTTGCTCCCCTACCACACCCACCCCGAACGGAAGAGCGCCAGGGCTCAGGCTAAGGGCAGGTCAGTCAGGTGACTAGGAGGGCTGGAGGGCTGGGCCAGAGCAAAGGCCAGCAGCAAAGGACAGCCTGCATGGGGCGGACGGGGGCACTCCAGCCCTGGCACTGGCGAGTTAGGCTGCTTTAGGCAGGCTGTGTCACATGTGTGGACTCCTGTGACTGCCACCACAGTCGGAATCACCCAGCACAGCCCGTGCCCCGCTGTGGTCGTGCCCTGCCCCGGCCCTTACACCTTGGCTGCCCTCTGCAGTTTTGTCTCCGGGAGAAGGTCCGAGGGAGGCACTGAGCCGCTCTTGTGCTCAGCGTGAGGCCCCGAGGCCCAGCTGTCCTTTCGCTGCGCCCACGCTCAGTCCAGCGGCACAGGTTGGCCTCTGCTGTTGAAGACATTTGGGGAGCTTCCGCTTTTTTTTTTTTTTTAAGTTTTTTTTGGGGAATTGGGGGGCGGGAACAGCGTTGGAGAATCAGGGAAGGGGAGCAGACAGGTAGACAAATTGCTGTTTTGTTCTTCAGTCTAGTTGTGGAGGACGTCGCTTCACTGGCCCATGTTGGTATTATCATTGTGTTCTTCCTGGGTGAGGCAGTCGGTCGCTGGTCATTGGTTGACCACTCATGGTGGCTCACGGCAGCTCTTGCCGCTGCCAGCCACTCACGTAGCTCACAGCAGCCCACTGTAGCCCCGCTGCAGCCTACGCTGTTGCCAGCAACTCACAGCAGCCCAGCTCCAGGTTGAGCTGTTGTTCATCATCTTAGCTGTAGAGGGTGCAGCGTCACTGGTCCTCAATGTGGGATCCGAACTGCAGCCCTGCTGCTCAAAGCTGGTGGCGAGCTCTTAACCAGCTGAGCCACTTGGCCAGCCCAGCTTCCGCTTTTTGACTGGGCAGAAGTGCGAGAACACTCAGACGCAGGTCCCCGAGGACCTGCGCTGTCATCAGGAGACAGACCACTGGGCCATTAGGTCAGGTCGCTTTTCACATGATTCAAACCTGCCCCACCGTTTTCTAGAACAAGAGACCCCGTTTCTCTGCATAGTTCCCAGCATTCGGTGTCACAGCTCTCGATTTTGGCCCTTCTGACAGGTGCACAGTGACTTGTCATGGTGCCTGTCATTTGCACCAATGGCTGCCACTGCTGGACACTATCCGCGTCCTAATTTGCATACACACATCCTCTCAGGTGAAGGGTCACATCTTTGCTCATTTTTTAATCGAATGGCTTGATTTCTTCCTGTTGAGAGAATTCTTTATATATTCTAGATGTAATCCTTTGTCATGGGTGAGGTTTGCAAATATTTTCTCCCAGCCTGTATCTTGTCTTTTCATTGTATTTCACGGAGCAAATTTTTAAATTTTTGATGAGATCTAATTTTTTATCTGTTAGGTTATGGATGGTGCTTCTCGTGTCAATACTAAGAACTTTTCACCTAACCCCAGGTCAATTCTCCTGAAAGTTTTATAGTTTCATGACGTACATTTAGATCTATGGCCCGTTTTGAGTTAATCTTTGTACGGTCATGCTTGCATAACGGCGTTTCAGCCAACAACGGGCCGCATATATGACAGCTGTCCCATAAAGTTATAATGAAGCTGAAAATTCCTACCGCCCAGTGACGCTGTAGCCGTCGTAACGCCATAGCGAAACACGTTACTCATGTGTTTGTGGTGATGCTGGTGTGGTGTAAACTGTTCACTGAAAAAAAAAATAGGTCTTTGGAAAGGAGAGGCCACAGCATTTATTTGAGACCAAAAATGAGTAGCTCTCCGGGTAGCACTGATTCAGGCAGAAGTGCAGAGAGTTCTGATGAGGACAAAAAGCTGAGGGGTGTTCATGAGAAGGGGAAGGGGGACAAGGACATCCACAGAAGGATGGTGCTGCCATTGGTTCAGAGAAGAGGGTGACGCTGATTCTAAACAATGTTTTTAATGTTCAGCCCGGCATCCATCAGCCTGTAGTCATAATATCTGCTTTCTTGTTTCTCTGCCAACAGTTCCTTTGGGGCACAAGCTTGCTTAGGCCTCATCCGAAGGTGGTTTGGTCTTGTTTTCATATCTACAAGGTCTGAGGTTGTGAGACGTGCCAGGCGGCTCCTCTGGGTGGCAGCTCCCGCTCCACGTTAACGGGGCTCCTTTTACCTGTTTTTTGACCAGACAAACCTGAGCTACTTGTGGTGTAAAAGAGCAGCATACAGTTACGCACAGTGCACAGTACTTGATGGTGATGATGATAAACGACCAGTTCATGTGTCCACTACACTGCACTTCTGGTCCTTCCTTTAGAGCGGACTCTTGCTACTTTAAAAAAAAGTTCAGGGCTGGCCGAGGAGCTCAGATGGTTAAGAGTGTGAGAGTCTAAGCAATAGGGTTGCTGGTTCGATTCCCACATGGGCCAGTGAGCTGAGCTGGAGCTGAGCTGGAGCTGAGCTGCCAACAGGTGGCAGGATGACTCAGCTGGTGAGAGCACGTGCTCCTAACAAGGTTTCTAGTTAGACTCCCACATGGGATGGTGGCTACGCCCACCTGCAACTAAGACTAAACATGGCACCTTGAGCTAAGTGGCCGCGAGCTGCAGATGGGCAGCCGGATGGAGAGTGGACTTGGAGCTGAGATAGCTGTGCCCCCACAGCTAAGACTGAAGGACAACAACTTGGCTGTTCCCCTCCCTCAATTCCCCAAAACTGTTTCCCTTCCCGAATTCCCCAATAAAATCTTTAAAAAAGAAAAGAAAGAAAAGAGTTCACTGTAAAACAGTAGCTGAGCTATGCCGGCAGCAGCCTCACATGTCTCATGTTTAACAAATCTCTTGATTGTATCATTTTTGTGTGTGTGCTTGATTTAATCTCATGTTTTTGGGCTCACCATGGCCCGTCAGCGTTCGCAAAATGACGAAATCACCTAACAACACATTTCTCAGGATGTATCCCCGTCACTAAGCGATGCATGACTGTATAAGACTCAGGGCTTAGGTCAGGGTTCATTGGCCATGCATACAGATGGTCATTACTTGAAAAGCCCATCAGTCTGTTTTCTGTATTTATGAGCTTGGTTTTCTTTCTTTCTTTTTTGATTCCACATGTAACAGATCACACAGTATTTGTCTTAGCATATGTCCTTAAGGTTTATTCATGTTGTTGCAGATGGCAAGATTTCATTCTTTTTTTGGCTGATTAATATTCCATTGTATAAATGTACACATTGTCTTTATCCATCTCTCTATGGACAGTTAAGATTGTTTCTATATCTTGGCTATTGTAAATAATGCTTCAATGAACATGAGGATGCATATATCTTTTTTAATTAGTGGGTTTTTTTCTTCAAATAAATACGCAGAAGTGGGCTTGCTTGATCATATGGTAGTTCTTTTAATTCTTGAGGAACCTCCATACTGTTTTCCATAGTGGCTGCACAAATATACATTCCTTCCAACAGGGCACCAGGGTTCCCTTTCCTCCACATCCTCGCCAGCACTTATTTCTTGTCTTTTTGGTTATGGCCATTTTAACAGGTGTGAGGTGGTGTCTCGTGGTTTCAATCTGCATTTCCATGATGATTAGTGATGTTGAGCATCTTTCCATGTACCTGTTGGCCAACTGTATGTCTTCGGAAAAATGTCTATTTAGGACATCAGTCGTAAACAAAAGTCAACTAGGTATTCTGTCACCCAAAAGGATTTACTTAGGAAAAAGGATTGCAGTCTTGTGTGGGCAGCCAAAGGGATGAAAAAATGGAGGAAGAACTTTATAGAGAGGAAGAGGAAACCAATGGGAGGGGCTGTTACAGAGTCCTTCCTGCAGGCCCTCCTGACTCCCGTGGAGATTAAAGGATCATAAATTCTGACATTCTCTTCTGCCCATATATTAATTGGATTTTTTGTTTTGTTTTGCTTTGCTATTGAGTTGTATGAATTCTTTTTTTTTTCTTTTAAGGACTTTATTGGGGAATTGGGGAAGGGGAACAGCCAAGTCGTTGTCCTTCAGTCTTATTTATGGAGGGCGCAGCTAGCTCAGCTCCAAGTCCAGTCGCCATCAGGTCGCCTATTGGCAGCTCGCGGCCACTCAGCTCAAGGAGCCGTGTTCAATCTTAGTTGTGGGTGGGCGTAGCCCATGTGGGAGTCTAACTGGCAACCTTGTTGTTAGGAGCACATGCTCTCACCAGCTGAGCCATCCTGCCACCTGTTGGCTGCTCAGCAGCAGCTCAGTTTGGGTGCAGCTCACTGGCCCAGGTGGGAATCGAACCGGTGACCCTGTTGCTCAGAGCTTGCGCTCTTAACCAACTGAGCCACTAGGCTGGCCCCCGTGTGAATTCTTTATATATTTTGGATATTAGCCCCTTATCAGATATATGATGTGCAAATATCGTCTCCAATCGGTACGTTGCCTTTTCATTTTGTTGATGTTTTTTTTTTTGCTGTGCAGAAGCTTTTTGGTTTGATGTAGTCCCACTTATTTATTTTTGCTTCTGTTGTTTTTGCTTTGGGTGTCAGATTAAAGAAATCATGACAAGTCCAATGTCGAGAAGTTTACTGCCTTTGATTTCTTCTACTAGTTGTATGGGTTGAGGTCTTATGTTCAAGTCTTTAATCCATATTGAGTTAATATTTTTGTGTGGTGTGAGATAATGATCGTTTCATTCTTTTACGTGTGGTTGTCCAATTTTCCCAAC